ATCTGTGTCCAGGTCTCTTCAGCAAAACACCTTGATCTGCTGCAGGGGCAGCAACAATGCTTATGGCTGGTACCAGCAGAAGGTCCCTGGCAGTGGCCCTGTCACTGTGATCTATGCTGATAACACGAGACCCTCGGGCATCCCTTCGCGATTCTCTGCATCCACATCCGGCTCCTCAAACACGTTAACCATCACTGGGGTCCAAGCCGAGGACGAGGCTGACTATTTCTGTGCTGGCTGGGACAGCAGCAGCAGTGCTTCCACAGTAGCATGCAGCAATTGGGGAAGTGATGCAAAAACCTCCTGCTATTGCAGATATCAGTCAGGAGTCTCTGCTGTGCCTGTTTGATGGGGGTCAGGCCCCCACCATGGCCCTGTTCTTGCTGCCCTGCACTGAATGTGGCTGTGCTTGGTGTCTCAGCCTGGCACTCCCTTAAAGCCCCAGATCCCTGCCCATTCTTTGCAGTCTGGGAGGGGATATATAGCACTTGGAAACACACTCACCTCTATGGCCACATTACCCATGGCTGGGTCCAAGCAGAGGAGGAGGAAAAGCAGGAGGAGGCTCTCACTCTTCTGGCTGGGACACCAGTGGTGATCAGGGCCATGGTAACTCCCAACACGGGAAAAGGGAGACACAGGGCCACTGTTGCTGCAATGGGGCATCCTCAGGTGCTGCCTGCAGCTGCCCAGGCACAACATGGAGCAGCATCTGTGCCTGTGTGGCAGTTCCTGCTATGGGACACATGCTGTGCTCCAGCAGGTCCCCTCTATGCTGCTCACAGGGAGACAGCCCTGCCCTGCCCATGCCAGCCAGGCCCCTGGTGCCCTGGGCACCCTGGGGACAGCATAGTCAGGGACAGGGAGGGTCCTGGCGGAGAGGGAATTTCCTTCGATGAAGCCACTCTTTGTTTGGGTTGGGATTGCCAAAGACAGCCATGATCCCTGTGCTCTGAGTTGGAGCAGGACTGAGCAGGAGCTGACCCAGCTCTGGCTGCTGAGCGCCAGCACTCTGGGCTCATGATCAGCTAATGGGGCGGCATTGCTGGATCCCATGGCTCAGTGCTGGCCCACTCCCATTGTTCTGGGGTGTGAATGCCTGCGAAGAGCAAAGGTCTTGGTCTTGAGTGGTGGATCTCAGCTGTCAGAGGAAGAGCTAGGGCACAAAAGCAGGAGAGCAAGGGGGTATTTTACAGGCCTGGAACACCCATGGGAGGGAAAAATGCGAAAAATTAGTTGGGGAATGGTGGAGCTTGGCATAGTTCCAGTCTCATCACTGGGAGCTGCAGGTACTCCTGTATGCCATTGCCACAACGCCCAGCTCTCCCTTCTCCTTAGGCACTGCAGCCACTCAGCCTGGTGTGGGGACAGGGGAGTCAATGCTGGTGGGTTTCAGGCTCAGAGCTGGGGGGTGTCTCCACTTTGTGTCTGGGGACAAGGCCTGCTGCATCTGGGATGGTGGGGCTGGGTGTGGAGCGGGAGGGGTGTGCGGAGAGAGGCGCGGGCAGGATCCGGCCGTGACCGCAGGGTCGGATTTGCATGGAGGGGACGTGTCCTGGGCGGGCGGGGGCTTAAAAGGGAGTCAGGGTCCACGGCATAGCCCCATCATTCTGGGGACGCTGAGCTGGTGGGACTGAACCATGGCGTGGGCCCCTCTTCTCTTCGTGGTGCTCGCCCACAGCACAGGTGCCTTGGCCAGACTCACCGTGCCTGCACTGGGCCTTTGGGCTCAGGGACCCCATCCTGCTGCCCAGGCAGGCCTGTGCTCCTGGGACACTGACTGACTCCTGTCTTCTCCCCTCTCTTCTCTCCCTCTCCAGGTTCCCTGGTCCAGGCAGCGCTGACTCAGCCATCCTCTCTGTCGGCCAAGGTGGGAGAGACGGTCAAGATCACCTGCTCTGGTAGCAGCTACAACTATGGCTGGTACCAGCAGAAGATCCCTGGCAGTGCCCCTGTCACTGTGATCTACAACAATAACAACAGACCCTCGGGCATCCCTTCGCGATTCTCCGGATCCAAGTCCCGCTCCACGGCCACGTTAACCATCAATGGGGTCCAAGCCGAGGACGAGGCTATCTATTTCTGTGGTAGCTATGACAGCAGCAGTACTGCTGCACCGTGACACAGAGCAGTGGGGAAGTAGTACAAAAACCTCCTGCTTCAGCTTACCCTTGGAGCCCCAAAACTGTGCTCATCCTCTGTCATTTGAGGAAGTTATGACCTCCCAGCAACACTGTCATGGCCCAGGATGTCCCATGTATGTGCATTGAGGCAGATTTGTCCTTCCACTGTTCCCTTGACCAGGGAGGGCTGTGATTCAGGTCACTGGCTGACCCTCATCTTCTTTTCTCCCTCCTCTTCCTCTTCATTTTCCCTGGTCCAGGAAGTGCTCTGTCAGCTCTACTCGATGTCAGCCTTGTGAGACAAACCATCAAGGTCATCTGCTCCAGGGATGGCAGCAGTTGTGACTGGTACCAGCCCAAGTTTCCTGGCCATGCCCCTGTCATTAGGATCTACTACACTGACTTGGGATCACCAGACATCCCTTTGTGAGTCTCCAGATCCCAACCCGGCTCTGGGAGCACAGTAACCATCTCTGGTGTCCAAGCCCAGGACAAGGCTGTCTGTTAATGTGGTGACTATCAAAATGGCAGTGATGATGTTACCATGGTGAAACAGAACAATGGCGAAGGAATGCAAAGTCTTCCTGCTATGGCAGGGGCCTGTTGGAGTCTCTGCTGTCCCTCTTTGGTAGGGCAGGTCCCTGGCACAACCCTGTCTTTTTCTGCCCTGTAGTGAATGTGGCTGTTCCCAGTGACACAGCTCCATTCTTACAGCCCTTGTCATTTGTGGATGAGAACGGATAGTATAGAACTGAACAGACCATTTCAGATGGAAGAGGCCTTCAATGATCACAGTCTAACTGCGTGGCCACTACAGGGATGACAAAAATGTAGGGCATTGTCCAAGTGCCTGTATAACACTTGCAGGCCTGGGATATCATCCAGTTTTCTAGGAAATCTGTCCAGTGTTTGCCCATACTCTCAATAAAGAAATGCTGGGATGACCTCCTGTGCCTGCCTGTGCTCCAGAGCTAAAATTCTCCTGATCTCCCTGGCTGGTGCCCAGAGCCCTGCTGATGCCTCCACCCCAGCTCCCAGCACAGCTGTGCCAGGAGCTCCTGGACCATCACCACAAGGGGCACAGCCCTCTGGAAACAGAGGAGTTAAAAACAGAGCTTCTCTGCCCTCTCTCTCAGCGCTGAGCAGGGCTGTGGGCTTGATGCAGCTTCATGTCCCCCCTCCATGACCATTGCCTGTGAATGGCCTCCTGCTTGCCTCATGCTGTGCACAAGGAGGCCCTGGGCCTCTGCAGTGCCTGGCATTGCCATGTCCTCAGCCTCAGCACCTCATTCTGCTGCCAGCCACGTCCTCTTGCTCTGCCAGGTCTCTTCATGGGGCCCTGGCCTTCAGCTCAGGCCCTGGGCTCTGTCTGAAGCAGTGACCCCTCTGTTCCATCAGGACTTTTTGGCACAGGAGCCCTTGTCCTGCAGGTCAGAGAGGGCTGCCCTGAGGCACTGACTGGCACCCCTCTTCTCCCCTCTCCCTGTCTACATTCCCTGGTCCAGGCAGCATCTGAGAGTCTGCTGTCTGAGGTGTCAGCCAATCTGGGAGAGACTTTCTAGATCTCCTGCTCTGGTGGCAATGCCAAAAGCTACTTCAGCAGCACCCTGCTGCATCCAGCACAGCCTCTGTCCTCCTCCATGCCTCTCTCCAAGGAGAGCAGGACTCAAGAGCTGAACATTTTCCCCCTCTTGTCCTCCCACAAAATGAAATTGAAACCCCATTGAAGCCTAAGAAATGCTCAGAAAATGATCATCCACATGGAGGGCAGTGGCTTCAGCTAAATGATTTGTGTAGACAATTTCAGTCATGTTTTTTCTTTTTTGGATAGTTTCAGACTTTGCACAAAAGCATAAACCTTCACAGATTCAAAGCAAACCTCTGAAAGAGAAAGTGTCTCAAACCACAAAATCTTCGAAGTGTTACCTGTTTTACAGTGAACTATTTATAGAGTTCCTGTGACTCAGGAAATTCACTGACTCTGCCTCTTTCTACAACAACTTGCACAAACCACATCATTTAAAAATCTGTGGGTTCAATGTACGTTGGTGCTGTTGGCATTCAGTGGTCCAAACTGAGCGCTGAATCTGCCAATCTGTGGGATTGGCACCACACGCAAAACACTTTTCAAAGAAGCAGCCAAGCTTTTACAGGGAAATTTAAAGTTAATTTGTTTTAGCTGAAGCCCATTCTGGCTCACTCCTTCCTTGGCTATCTCAGCTCTATGTAGGCATCTCCACCTCTTGCCTTTCCCTAATTTTAGGGTAAATATTAATACAAATAAGTTGCCTGCAGAGACCTTCAGCTATTAGCTCCATTGCTGGTGTGGGAGCTGCACTGAAAGAGCCCAGCCAGGACCAAAACTCCACAGATACAGCTGTGCCTACACCTCCATCCTGCTGTGCCCATCAGGACATCTCCATCCCATCACCTTCATTCCACTGCATCCATTGGGATATTTCCAGACCATCTTCTCCATCCTCCCCCATCCATGGGGTCCGGTGCTGCTCTGCCATGAGACAGGAGGTTTTTGTATGGCCTGGTGTCACTGTGTGGTGTATTCGGGGCCGGGACGATGCTGACGGTCACAGGTGAGTCGACGGCTTCCCCTCGTCCTTCCCTTTCCCACCACAAAATTTTGACATTTCGTCGATTTTTGGTGATTTGGGGTTTTTTCTCGGACTTGGCGCGGGGCTGGGGTCTGCCGCCCGTTTGGGGCCAGGCACTGAGCCTGGCGCTGGGGGCTCTGTCTCGTCCCTGCGGACTCTGACGACTCTGTGCGCGCCACGGAGAATCGGGGCGTATTTTCTTAATCGAAAAGTCTTAAAATTTGTCCAGGAAACGTGTCTTAGGTCTCAGGGGGAAAGAAACTCAAGTTTAGGTCCCTAAAAGAGGTGATTTTTGTCTTTGTCAAAGAAATTTGTCAGTCTAAAGTCTACACCCCCAATTCTTAGTCCTGAGGACAAAGTCTGTCACCCCAGGGGCTCTTCTACGGGGTCCCGTGGCCAGGGGTGAAGGTGCTGTAAAAGAACAGCCTGTCCTTGGCTGTGAGCAGTCCACAGTCATCCTGACTTCATGTTAAAAATGTCCCTGGAATCTTAGACAAAAGATTCCAGGGGTATCTTAAAGAGCCCATTGTCCAGGTAAGACATGTCAAAAATGGAGATTATTACGCTGAAAATGCTGTTGGAAATGTCGTTTGTCTGTCTTTGTCTGTAATTTTTAAAATAATTTGGTGAAAATTCCCAATTTGAACCAAATTACTCAGGGCTAAGATCAAGAAAAATGTACTTTGACCATTTCTTCATCAAAAAGTATTTAATGACTCCATCCTGGTTTTCAAATGGAAATAGAGATAGAAATAAGAGGTGAAGATAGAAATAGAAACACTGCACATTGGAGAAGGCAGCAGAACCACACCAGAAAGACCAAACATCTTTTTTCCATCTTCCTTTGAGTGATTTTTAGTGGTAATTTTTCAGAGACAAGAAAATGTCTGAAAGCAGAACTGGGCAGAAAACAGGATTGTTTGTCTGTGAAATTTTTGGGTTTTAAAAAAAATGCCTCATAAAAGGAAAGAAATGGCTTTATGGCAAAGAAATTAAGATTTAATTTTTATATATATAAATATATATAATGTATATATACAAATATATATCAAGTCTTTTTAGATATATATGAGATACAGAAATGTATAAATATTCATGTTAAATGCATTTAATAGAATCATACATCTATTCATATGATATGGACCACATATGTATGCATATTGTATACTTTCTATATATTCTGTATATTAGCTGTATATATCTATCATATGTAATACATATATGCACATATATGTACATATAGTGTATATAAAACATATATACAAGCATATATGAGATCTATGTGTATATGTATTACACACACACACACACACACACACACACACATATATATATATATATATGTGTATATATATATATATATATGTGTATATATATATATATATATATATATATAAATGTAAATACAGTACAGTTACGAGTGATAAGCTCTGGCTGTGGGGAAGGTGGGGAGTTTCTGTGTAGTGCCAGCAGGGCAGGCAGGGGTTGTGGTGGGGGACAGGGCCCTCTCTGACCCAGAACCACTCTCATCCCTTGCAGGCCAGCCCCAGGTTGCTCCCACCGTCAACCTCTTCGCGCCATCCTCCGAGGAGATGTCACAGGGCAAAGCCACCTTGGTGTGCCTGATAGAGAACTTCTACCCAAGGGATGTGACGGTGGAATGGGTGGCTGACGGCAAGACCATCACCAGTGGTGTGGAGACCAGCCAGCCCCAGCAGCAGAGCAATGCCCAGCAGCAGAGCAGCACCCGGTACATAGCCAGCAGTTACCTGTCGCTGACTCCCACCGAATGGCAGAGTTACAATTCTGTCTCGTGCAAGGTCAGGCACACGGCTGGAAACGTGGAGAAGACCCTGAACACATCCGAGTGTGCCTAAGCCACCCTGCCGGCCCTTTGCTGGCTCCCTCCCTCCCCTCCACTCTGGGAGCAGCGGCTCCCTGCCGCAGACGTCTCTGCCCATGTCCGCCCGTCCCCTGCCCCTGTCCCGCCTCTGTGAGTGTCACACAAATAAACACCGACACTGAACTAGCGCTGGCTCAGCATCCCTGTCTCTGTGTCCTTCCAATGCGCCCGCTGCCCACTCGCTGCCTGGCATCGGCCCAGTGGCACCAGTGGGGAGGGTGGGATGGGAACACACATATGTGTACACACACACACGCATATTGCGGGGGCTCTCTGAAGCTTCTGCTCAACCCCGGGGACCCCAATGAAACCCCCTGGCACTGCCAAGACCAGGGAATGAGCAGCCTGGGGCACAGCCTGCACTAAGCCCCCGTGCACTCATTGAACACGTAGCTCTGGCTGTGCCACCCTCAACCCTTGCTCCTGTGCCTCTGGGTGCCAGCTGCCTTGCAGGCACACGTGGCCTCTGGTGGAGACACAGCCAGCCATGTCCCTGTGCCACCAGGCCTGGCCCTGTCTCTCTTTCATTGTTACCCCATACTTCCCGGAATGGGGGTCCCGGTGTAGCTGCCAGCTGAGCACAAACACCAACCTGTCCACACACCCTGTGCCACGACAACCGGGACTCCTGTGTGCCACATGCCCTGTCCCCATGCCCAGCTCAGCCCTGGGGAAGTTTCCCTGCAGCCATGCCCATGGAAGGCCTGACAGCCATTGCTTTACTGAAAGCACCAGTGCTCTGCTGTCGTCACCCCATCAGGGCAGCCAGGAGCTACTCCAGGGACAGGGGCTGGGAGCACCCAGCCGTGCTGTGTGCAGGTCTGGGGGAGGTATCCCTCACCAGCCTCTTGGGAAAGGGGGGGATGGCCCCACCACATCCCCTTCCTCAGGCTGTGCTAGTGGAGTGCCTTGCTCCAGGCTTTGTGTAGCCACATGTCCCTGCAAGTTTCTTCTGGGGACACAGAATCATAGAACCCTAGAATGGGATTGGGTTGGAAGGGACCTTTAAAAGTCATCCAGTCCAAGTTCCCTGGAATGAACAGGGACATCAACCAGATCAGGTTGCTCAGAGCCCCTTTCAGCCTGATCTTGAGTCTTTCCAGGAATGGGACATCCACAGCTTCCCTCAGCTACCTGTTTCAACAACTCACCACCCTCAAAGTAAGAAAATTCTTAATTTTACCTAGACTAAATTGACCCTTCTTTAGGTAAGAAACATCATCTCTTGTCCTATTACATCAGGGCCTGCTAAAAGTCTGTCTTCATCTTTCCAATAAGCCCCCTTCAAGTACTGAAAGGCTGCTATAAGGTCTTGTCAGAGCCTTGTCCTCTCCAGGCTGAACAGCCCCAATTCTCCTCTCTTTTTCCCATAGCAGAGGTGCTCCAGTGCTCTGAGATCTTTGTGGCCTCCTCTAGACTAACCCAAACAGGTCCATGTCCTTTTTATGTTGTGGGATCCAGAGCTGGACACGGCACTGCAGATAGGGCCTCACCAGAGCGGAATATAGGGGGAGAATCCCCTCCCTCAAACCACTGCCCTCACTGCTTTTGATACAGCTCAGGATATGTCTGGATTTTTGGGCTGCAGGTGCACATTTTCAGGTCATTATCCACTGATTGCCTAAAATCCTTTGTAGCAGGACTGTTGTCAATTCCCTCGTGCCCCAGCCTGTATTGATATGAGAGCACAGTGCCCTTCCCTCTGCTTTTGTCAGGGCACTGGCAGCAGACCCTGACCCCACCTCAGCTGCCAAAAGGCACCTCATGCTCCAAAACAACTTAATTTGCTTTAATCCTGCTTTATCCTCCTCCTCAGCTGGGCAGAGGAGGCCTTGCCATGGAACAGCCCCATGCATAGGGCAAACCCCCCTTCCCATCACCCTGCTCAGGGGGTCAGTCACAATCTCCCTTCCCACGTGCGGGGTGACAAGCTCATGGTTTTCGCAGGAAATCCCAAATCCCATTGCTACAGAGCATGTGCAGGCCAGACCCCTGGGCTGCTGCTGGCCTCAAGAAAGGAGCCTCAGCAGGATGCTCAGCCTGAGTCAGAGCCAGGGAAAAGAAGGAAAGGCAGATGATGGAGGGATCTGTCCAACTGTGTTTCAATATAAGCTTCTTTAACAGAGTTTCCTGAGCAGAGAAGGCTCTCCATGGCAGAGGTGCAGGGCCAGCTCCTGAGGGGCTACTGGGCTATGGAAGGCGGTCCTGAAGGTGAGGGTTGCTGCAGCTTGGCCACATCCATGCATGCAGCCATCCATCCCAGCTCACTGCTGAGGAATGTGAGCCCAGAGATGGCAGCAGCTCCTCCACGCTGCCACTGATCCCCTTTCTTGCTCAAGCAAGGTTATTCCCTGGCAAACCCCTTCCTTTGGCATCTCATCTCCAGCCTTGTGGTGCTGCCAGGAGAGCTGCTGCCTGAGACTCTGCCAGCCAGAAATGCCCCAATGACCAAGACCTGCTGCCAGGGAGGATGTCCACTTCTTTTCTGCTGCAAAGATCAAGCCTCAATAATTACCAATTCCAGCAGTTGTTGAATCACCTTAGTAGTGGTTGAGGCTGCAGTGAATGACAGGTAACACAGGGCCCCCATCCCAGCTGTGCTGCCAGGTTTTACCCCAAGAAATGCCACATTTCTGGGGAGAGGCACTGGGGGAAGGTGTCAGGGCAATTCTTTCCCCAGGTCCTGAGATTCATCTTGACATCTCCTGAGTAAATCCCATTCCTTGGTCACAGGACACTAGGCCCAGCTTTCATGGGCTAAATCTGGGGCATGAGGTGGGGTCTCGCTTCAGCTCAGGTCTGTGTGGGCAAGGCACAGGCACATCTCTGACTCAGGGGGCCTTAAACCTCACTAATTATTGATTAAAAGATTTTGCTAAATCTTTTCCATAAGCAACAACTGTCAAGAAAAAAGCCTGATTAATTATAGATCAGTGGCCCTGGCCCCTCCAGGGCTCCCATCCTCCCCCGCTGCCTGCAACTTGGCGAATTCCCAGCCAGAGTTTTACCCTTAACAAACCTTCTACAGGGCCAGGGAGCCTCGGCTGGGAATCACAGAGGGATGCAGGGCCTGATCCATCCCCTGGCAGGGAGGAAAGCAGAGCCTGGGAAGAGCAATCTGGATCCACTCCCGCACCACCCTTGCTGGGGGTGTCTGGTGAGCAAATGTGCTGAGCAGAACCGAAACCTCCCTCCCCTCCCCAGCTGCAGCTCCCGCTCTCACTCTGCCGGCTCCTGCACTGCAATTTTAACAGTCATTTATTTTCTCATTTTCCCAGCTTGCCAGTAATTTTAAAATGAGGGGGATCTAATTTAGTAAATGAGATGCTTCAGGAAGGCTTTAATTAGCTGCAAAGAGAAGCAGTGGCTCCCATGTAGGATTGAGGCTTGGTGAAAATGCTCTCTCAGGCTGAGGCTCCCAGGTAAGGGCTTAGCAAGGCTTTCAGGGGGCATTTGATAAAGCCTGGGGTTTGGACATCTTGGGCTTGGAGGGGTCCCACAGCTGAGAACAGAGTGAAGGATGCAGGAATGCCGGCAAAGGAATGTGGGACCATAGGAACTCTTGCAACCTTCCCTCCTAAACCACTGCCACAAACCTCCAGCACAAAGCTCTGCTCTGCTCCCCAAACCCTCCCTGGGTCCCCTCCATGATGACCACCTCTGGTCACATTTGTGCCCCAAAAAGCAGCCCTGACCTGTTTGGGTTTTTTTGTTGGTTTTTGGTTGGTGTTTTTTTTGTTTGCTTGTTTTTTGTTTGGTTTTTCTTTTTGTACATCACCGGGTGATTTCCCCAGGCCAGGCAAGCCCCAACGTCCTGTACCAGGAGGAGGTGGGGTCTGTTTTTGTGGGGACGTGGCGGGAGCAGAGAGAGTGCACCTGGCACTGATGAAAAGCTCATCTGGAGAGGCACGGGCGGCGTGGCAGAGGAGGGGATGGGTCCTGCTGCCCCCAGCGCAGCTGCAGCCACACAAACAGCCGCGTTCCTGGAGGCAGCAGGGCTGAAACTCGAAAGCAAGAGCAGGGTCCCAGAATAGCCCCAGCCCAGGCTGGGGGAGTGGGACAGAGCCAGACCCAGCGGGACAGCAGTGGGAGGATGGCACAAGTCCCCTCGCTTTGGTGTGCCAAAGCCCAGGTGACACCCATGGCCTCTGCCCTGCCTGAGGCAGGGGCTGCAGCCCCCCAGCAGCAGGAGGGTGCTGCTGGTCCCTGCACCCCATCCTGCTCCACGCACATCGCTGTGTTCTCTGAAGGACCTGGGGAAAGGCTGTGCAGAGCCCAGGTTGTGCCACGCCAGCACTGGCCCCTGTTTTCCCCAGGCCAGCCCCACCGTGCAGCTGTGCGGCGGTGGGGCATCCCCTGGCTAAATTTACTCCTCACCCACTACAGTCCCCAATCAGAAATTCAAAAGGGCCCCCCAAAAAAGGAAGTGAAACTGTCTCCAGTGGGTGCTGACGTGTGAAGGCAAGTGAGCGCCACGCAGCCGAGCCGGAGTCGGCTCAGCCCTGAGGTGGTGGCCAGCTCTGTGTCCTGCCTCACCAGGCTCACCCTGGGGCCATCACCTTGTGGGGGACATCAGCCCGTGACACAGGGGAAGGGTCTTGGGGTGGCATGATGCTGCCCAAAATTGGCAGGGTGGGTGGTGGTGGACAAATACCCACTGGGGGCTGGTGCCGGGGCTGTGCCGAGACTCCGTGCCATAACAGGGTATGTGTCCCCAGGCCAGGGTCACCCCTCCAGTCCCTTGGAGGGTCCCTGACAGTGTGCCCAGTGGGGTCTTGCCTGACAGGGTGGTCCCTGCCCTGGTGTGGGATGTCCCAGCTGCTGTACACATGCACACACACGTGTGTGCACTCACATTGCACACGTATGTGCAGATATGTGCACACTCCACCCCCAGTGACCCCAGCGCATCCAGCCCTGGGCTGGGCACCACTGACCCCACACCCGTGGGCTTTGAGGCCAGGGGAGACCCTGACACTGCTCACATCGTGGCCTTGTCTCCCTGTGTCGCCACCACAGGGGGACCAGCCTGAACAGCTTCCTGCTGCTACCCTGTCTCAGGTCACCCTGAATCTACTCACTCATTTACTGAATTAAACTAATCAGTCCCTGCCTGCTGCCAAAGCAGCCCCTTCTCTGGGGTCATCCCTCAGTCTGACCAGTTGCAGGGTACAGGGGCAGCCTCCAGGTTCACAAAATACGGAGCAGGTTTACCTAAGTCTGGGAAAGACATTTATAAATTAATAAAATACATGTTATAAATGAATAAAATACAAGATACAAATTATAAAATACAAGTCATGAATGACAAAATACTATCAGACATCCCTGGGCAGCCCTGGGTCAAAGCCCCAGCTGAAGACAGTCAGAGAGTGCAAGACCAGGGTTTATTGCGCTGCAACTGGAAAAGAATTAAATGAAATAAATAAATGTTTCAGGCTTGTGTGGTTGAAAACACAACCTGACCATTCAAGCTCATTTGTGAAGATGAGAGCAATCATTTGCATAACTGTGTCAAAACAGCAACTGCCAGGGCACACAGCTGGCAGGAAGGTACCCCCTTGCTGGGGGTTATTTAGATGTGTATGAAACCACACCAGAGCCTGCAGGAGAGCCCAGTAAACAGCTCCAAAGATAAGTGCCCGGGCTTGTAAGCAGATTGTAAACAAGCTGAACCAACTCAAAAATAAACATCTTTCAGCTGCTTCAAAATATTTATTATTTCAATTTTATTGTAGTAGTAAAATGTAATTCCCAGGAGAGCCTCAGCCTGGTCTGGGGACGCAGCAAACCTTTGTTTTCTCTCATATTTGTGGTAAACATGTGCTCATCCCCACTCAGGTGTGCTGATGGAGGAAGATCTGATCACAGGGCTGGTGCTCTCTGTCTGGAGAAACATAGTAATTGAGCTGCAGACCTTGTTATGACTCCCTGGGTGAGACTTTCTAGCTTAATGTTAAGAAATTTCTAGGTGGGGAATGTTGGTGGCATGGCGACAACAAGGTTGTGGCAGTGGTGGCTGAGGGGTGTGATGGGGGCGGCTGCCAGGGTTCACACCAGGCCCTCAGGGTTAGGCTTACCCAGTTAGGGAAGACTTTTAGCCAAATTTGCGTTTTTCCTTCTCCACAGCCAGAGTGAGCAGAGCAGACAGCATGATGGGGAGTGGCAGAGAGCATTGGGTGCACCCTGGGGCTGGACCCTGCATCCTGAAGATGTGGTGTTCAGGGACGTGGCTGGAGCTGGCAGTGTCAGTATGATCTTGGACAGTTTTTCCATCTGTAAGGTTCTGGGTTCCTACCCCAGCCAGTGACACCCTCACCAGCAGCTCCCCACCCTGTGCACATGCTGCCGGCCCCACACCAGAGCCACGGGCCCCTTCCTCTACAGCTACTGCGGGGAAAACCCACCAGCTTTAAACATTTCTGCCATGTTTTGGGCACTTTTGGCCGGACCCCCGGGCTGGCTGTGGGCAGGGGGTGCTGATGCACATCACAGCCCCCCAGCTGGGCCAGGCACACACACAGACAGCTGTTTTGACCGCAGCCCCGCAGCTTGGAAACAGCCCTTGCTAAAATTACAGCCCGCCAAAACCAAGAGCCCGCCAAAACCAAGAGCCCGCTTCGGCCAAACATCAGTTGGCAGCCAGGAATAGCCCTGGCCTCGCCACGCTCCGCTGCCTTGGCACAAAGCTTCCCGCACGTGGCACCCGAGCACTGCTGCCCGGCCGCGCCACGGGCAGGGCAAAAGTGGGAGAAGCCGGGGTTGGGCCCCAGTTCAGCAGCGGCTCATGGCGGGGGGACATTGTTCCTTCCCAGGCAGCCCGGCATTCCCAGCAGAGGCACAGATTTTGGGTGTGTGCCCAGCGTGTGCTGAGCCTTCGGGGTGGTTTTGGTATCCAGCTGTACAGAAGGTCTCTGGTGCCAGACCCTGCCTGGTCTGCTGCCCATTACTGTCCTCTGCTGGGGACACCACAGCCAGCCAGGACAGGTCCCACAGGTGATGGGGACCCTGTGGAGTGCCTGCTGCCAGAGCTACTGCCCAACATTCTGGTCTCCAATGTCTTTGGGGACCACAGCCTATGCCCTCCATGGTCCCCCCTGGGCAGGCACCTGGTCCCACTGCCTGGGTACCCCTCACACCCTGGCCTGGTACTGGAGTGGACTGGGGGCTGCAGCCACCTGGGGCTCACCACGGCCAACTGGATCCTCTGTTCTTGCCAGCTGGGCTGGGCCCACCCTGGGCTGGAGCTGGGCAGATCCATGGGGCAGCTGCCCTGTGGTCTTTGGGCACGAGGGCTGGAGCTGGGCAGTGCAGCTGGGAATGGTGGGACATGGCTGGACTTGAGAATGGAGGACATGGGAACACAGAAGGGCAGGGAACACACAGGGGACATGATGGGACATGGGAAGAAGAGAAGGCACAGCAGGGAGGGTAGTAGGGCAGAGGGAGCATAGGAACACTGAGGCTGGGGACATGAAGGCACAGGGCACAATGGCATCCAGACATGGGGGAGAGCGGCAAGAGGCCATGGGAGCCAGTGACACAGGGGACAAGAACATATGGAACAGGGGCAGAGGGGAAAATTGAATGAGGACACAAGGGGCTCAGGGGACAGCGGCCCAAGAACACAAAGGAAAGGGCTCCAAGGACATGGGGAACAGGGACAGAAGGACACAGGCAGTGATGGCAGGATGCAGGGACACAGGCACACGGACACATGACGCAGATGGCAGAGACGGGGACACAAGAACAAGGGAGCAAGGGACAAGAGGCACAGACACACGGGACAGAGGTGGCGGTGTCGGGGATGGGG